AACAAGTGAAATGCATTCTGATCTCTGTTCCAACTTTTTATATTGAATGCCCTGTTGAGTCCATGGAAACTGAATGTGTAGAACTTACTGATTGTGAGCTCCCCTCCTAATATTCTTGAACACATACTTTAGGCTAACTTGTAAATGTAGATAACCCCATACTAATTGACTAATATCAGCAATGAAAATATTTGTACAACAGAAAAAAAAAATACAAACCTAAATCTATTGCCATGTTTAAAGGGAGCAGTATACCATGTTTCAATATCTGATTGAGTTAAATATACTGATTGTTGTATGGTATTGTTATTTATAGATATCTTTATTTCAACTTCACCTTCTGGTATATTTATATTTTCTATCTTGTTATTCAGGTTAAGGAAAAAGAAATATCACCACTGAACTGTACACCATTAACACCATCAACATTTACAATTTTCTAAAACATTGTGTCTAAAACTGTATCAGCTTTAAAAATGTGGAAGATCTGAGAGGCACAATTCAGAAATTGAGCTCAAAATGCAAAAAAACTCTCTATGAAGAGCACCAAAAGTTATTACAAAAGGATATCCAAAAAGTAGAATATTTAGCTTGTTGTTTTTGGTTAAGCCATTCACCTTCTACATCTTTACCATTTATGACTAAATTTATACTATTTTCTCTACTTATCTGAAAAAAATCTGAAAACTTTGAAAATAGCTTCAAAGTTTGAAAGTTACTCAACTATCACTGATCAAGATGGGAAAGGACAAATTCAGGTAGCCAAGAAAAAGTGTAAGCTTTTTGTCCAGTCCACTTGCCATCATTAAAACATGTTTTTAGCTCAGATAAAAGTTAACCATACTGATTTTAAACACAGAGTTCAAACACATATAAAAAGGAAATAAATAAACATACCAATAAAGTTTTAGTAAAAGTGACCAATATACAAGATTTGTGTCTAGAGATATAAACACTGTCAATATCTAACTTTCTACATCCTCTACCTAATAACCATCTGTGATAAAACCAGGAACTTTGATCATTAGGGTCAGTGAAGAATGCATTCTGTACTGTTTCAAATTCTTAAATTAAAATCAATTCCTCAAGTTACAAACATATTCATTAAAGAGCTGTTAATATAACTGTCATATATAACAGGCATACCATGTCTGAAAATTTCTAAAATATCCAGATTCGCTATCGTTCATTTTTCAATGAATACATTTAGCATATAACATAACAGCTGAGTTCAAATGTAACAAGGCCCTTTGTAATGATTATGGATTTAAACATATTCAGACAGTTAGCTTAAACTTAAACCAGGCTTTTTAGAGCAATTCCAAAATTCACAAACCATGATGATGAATTATATATTTCAAAATCGTATGAAAATTACCAATTTTTTTTGTATGAATTCTAGACACTTCTAGTCTAAACAACTATGTAGAAGTAAAGGTACTTCCTCTATAATGAAGAAATAATCATCATAATAGGTTCTGTGGTGAAGAGTTAAAAGTGTGTGTAGACTCAATGGTTTCTTTAACAGCAAAGTACATCATATCGTACCTTGTAATAAGATGTCCTCCTGAACACCACTGGAATGATGAGAATCAGGGTATAGTTGAGGTAATAATTTACTTCTATAATGCCATGATGAATAGTTAGAGAAATTACTAGCTATTTTAGCTGTTGTAAAATCAAATTCGTCTTTAGCTGGTACATTAGACGTCTTGACCACAAATCTTCTATAGTCCCAACAATGAACTGAAAAAAACAAAATGATTCTCCTGTTAAATTGTTGCTTGTCAATATGAAATAGAAATATCAACGGAACTACAAATACTATAAAATTGTAGATATTCATGCAAATGTTCCTGTTCTGACCATAAGGATGATACATATTTTTCAAAAGATTTTGTCCTTTTTTGAGTATTTTTGTGGGACATTAATTTCAATCTCAAAGCAAAAACTTAAAAGAACCTACAATTTCTTTCATCATATTCTAAAAATTTATTGCACAACTGAAGTTCTCTGGTCCAATCCGGTATGGGCATTGTAGTCATTACAAAACAACGATGGTGCCATGTTCCATACGACTTGGGATTCACTTTCAGACAAGATTCCAAAAAATACAATTCTTCTTCAAATAATTTATTTAACTCTTCTGTTGGCCTGTAGATTAAAAGAAATTATTAAGAGTCAAAATAATTGTCTATAATTGATATACATACACAAACAGAACTTGAATAAGATACAGATTAAGGATATAAAGTAATATACTTGATCTGAATGAACTCCATTTTCTTGATAGCATTTCATGAAAAAGCAAAAAAAATAATTCAACTAAGCTGAACATACTTCACATCTTTAAAATGTAGAAATATTTCTTTTCTAAAGTTCCAGAGTGAATAGAAATCAGGATTAACTGATAATATTTCACCAGTTATCTTCAGTGCTTCTTCATCATATTCTTTATTCTCTCTCTGTTATAGAAATGGTAAAATATTTGTCACTTATCTATCTCTATGGTTTTGGATAATTAATAATGTAATTAAATAGAGAAAACAAATCTGATTCTACAATAATCAAGCATTTTAATTTCAGAGTAGTTACAAGAAAAGAATGATAAGATGAAACATCGGTGCTATATCTATTGCAACTGCAATTTTCAACTAACAATTCTACTAAAATTAAGTGTTTTATGATTATCCCCCGCAAAGGTCTTGATACAAGCAAATTTTGTGGGGGGTAAAACACATAGTTTCAGTGGAATTCAATCTCAATGGTGCAAATTGAATCTATCAGTGTCTCTGATACGCCTTAGAAAATTTAGGAGACCCCTAACACTATTGGTGATTATATATCAAAAGATTTTTCGTCAACTACAAACCTTTTGGAATGTACGTTGAGTTGCTGCTGTATAAATTTTCTGTTTCTTTTCTCTTTCTTTCCGTTTAGCTTCTTGCTGCTCTGCTGTTGTTCTAACTTTCAGTCTCCCATGCTAAAATTATAACCAATGACAGAATTCTAAGATATACCTAACTTTATTTCATCTTTTAATACAGCAGAAGAGAGAGTCTCTTCTTTTACTGAGACCAAGGTATAATTGGTCAAACGGATGCTGAATCCATCCCTTTAAACCTAAAACTAAGGTAAGTGCGCTATTCTTTTAAATTCTATGAACCACGCCCACTTTAAGCAAATGAATCATAATAATGAATAAACGCCATTAGTTTCATGAATTATGAAAGTCAAATTTTGAGATGTAGATTGAAAATGAAGGTTACCATGTTTTTCAAATGAACTTATGTTGTTGTGTGCTAGATATGATACGATTTTGATAAATAAATCAAAAATTGAGACTGACAAATGTTTACATGTACGACCAGATATTGTTTTCAAACACGAAAGAGTGACAGACACATGCTTCCGGTAAAATGGACGACGAAAATGTCAGTGATGGTTCCATTGAAGAAGAAACGATTTTAGAAAGACACCGGCGAGAGAAAAAAGAACTTTTGGGTAAGACTTTATATCAAGTCATTAAGCATGTCATAATAAGTCGAAATACTTTGTTGCAATTTTCGATTACTGGTAGAAGTGAAAATATTCAGTTAAGGGACGTAATCATAATAACAATAGTTCTTTTAAGGCTTCAGACTACTGAAAATGATAGTTTCCTCATCACTTTTCGATTGTATCATTTCGAAACCTTTTGACAGGAACCTGCTCCTCAAGATGTCTGTAGATCTGTAGAGATAGTTGATACCAATATTCTAAAAGGTTATGATGTAATCTAAAGTAAGAAACTTTTGGTACAATGTATATTTTGTTGTTGCAGAATTTTGTCAAAATTAAGAAACGAAAATTCTTTTTTTTAATGTCTTCAATGTTACTTCAGATATGAAATCAAATATTTAAAGGTGGTTTATTTCTTTTCGCTTCATAAATTCCTTATTGATGAAATGCATTGAAGCATTAAAAGATTATGACCCTCATTGTGATTCTGGCAACATGGAATCCACTAGTTTGTCATGTGATGAACATCAGACAGTCTAGGATTATAGAAATTTGGCTGAAAAAAAAAGTTGTGTTCGACAATAACTGAAATGGGCCAATTTCTTATGTTAGAAATGAATAAAAAATATGATCTTGCTTGAAGCGATTCAGATCATTCTGCAGGTTGATTTTGTAGGGCTATCCTATATTTATCAAACCATGCAATTGATCACATCATCTTAAGTCGCACATGTGAATTAATAAATTGAGTTAAAATGTATGATGTATGTTTTCCCATCACGCAAGATGTGAAGGTTTACCTGATATCTTCTTTTAAAATGAATTTTTTCCATCTTCTTACTATATAGAAGGATACATATCACATGTAGTTGAAATGATTTCAACCAAGGAAGGTTACTTGGCTAGGCTGTACAACACTATTGCTCTGACAACAATTTCTATAGAACTTACATGGACACAAGAAATTTGTATTTAAAAAGTTTGATGAACCCAAGCCATAAAAAATATCGGAGGGATAGTGGGATTGTAAGTGGTCCCAAACAGCCCCCAATTTCTCATGCAATCTGGTAGTCATGTAAAATTTTGTCTAAAGTATTGACAAAGGCTTAGAATTTCTAATAAAGCGTACCAGTACACATGCCAAAATTATTTATCTATCAGGGCCTGGTTGAATTCAGATGACTTTTGTATTAAAATTAATTTCTTGGCTTGGTATGCCATTTTGAAAACCTACTGTATTTAGATAACTTTAAAGTTTTCATGTTTAGATGAATTAGTTTCCAATTTAATCTTTCATTTCAGCTGAAATAACTAAGATACGTCACAGTTCTAAAAGTGACAAGAAAAAAAAGAAGGAATCTCAAGAACAAATTGCAAGATTAGAAAATGAACTAAAAGAAAGACATGAAAGAGAGATTGAGGAAGATAAAACAAATCAATCTGAGGTAAGGTTTTTTTCTTTTTGATAAATTTTTATTCTAAAACAACTGTGTGATTTATTCATTATGTTTTCTTTTCCATTATGGTTTAGTCCTACATGTATATATGGCATAGAAATTTATTTAAACATTTTTTCAAGGCTCATTTCAAACTGTCTACATTGATAATCACCATTCACAATATGGCAAGAAATAGTGAATTTTAAATAATTCATTTTACGCTCATTAGAACATAATAGCTTAAAGTAATGATGTTGTCAGTTTATGAATCCAATAAAACATGTTTCCTAAAAAATCACATTTATGTCATCTATTTGTAGACAAATGATTTATCTGAGGGAATTGGTCAGTTAGGAGATGACCAAGCTATTGAACCTCAGGAGAGTGCTGAAGTTACCAAACTAAAAAAGAAAATGGCCAAAGCACAGAAGAGAAGGGTAAGTATTTCTTTTATATATATCAGCAATGTCAATTAATCACCCTCTTTACATATAGGTAGGTGAAAAAACACAATTTAAAACAATACTTATTATGCTTAATCATCAATTTATAGCCACAATTGACCTATTGATGAAACATATAGAAACATCATACATATAAAACCACCAAATGTACACTCAAATTTTTTTTTTTCTTAATTACTTGGTGATTTAAGTCTTCCTAATCTATGGTCTCTTTTACCCCTCCACACGCCTCCACTCACTGATTCATAGAAACACTACTGAGAACATGCCCTGAATGCTATGTAAGAATGTTGAATAAGTAGAAGAAAAAATTGGCATATTTTAAATGTTGTCAATTTATGTTATTCCAAAATCAAATTTCCGTTTCTCAGGATTTTGGCCAAATAAAAGGTACAAGTAAACACAAGAAAAATTGCCAAGAATTAATATTTATGGGAAATATACCATTTTGAATTCCATTATCATTCAATCTCACAAAATAGCACAAGAACCTATAAGAATCTACAATTGCAACCATTCAATAGAACATATGGAATTATTTGAATACAATTGTTTTTAAATTTTCAAAAAATAAAGTGAATGGAGTTTAACGCCCTACTTCAAATTTTCGAAGTTATAATTTTATATTTAGATATTTAAATTTTTCATATAGGATGCAACAAATTTGAATTAAAGTAAAAGTAAATTTTGATCTGACAAAATCAAATAAGGAAATTTATTTTTTAAAACTATTTTTTGAATAAAGATTGTGATAAATGTACCATGTCAGATCTATAAAATGACTTGTGGAAAATAGTGAAGAAATAGTTCATGACATAATCCATTTATTTCACCAATTAAATATTCATATATTGGTTTCTTAAAAATTCACTTCCTGGAAGTTGCCATTCTTGGAATCGATCAATTACATTAGATTTGTGAATGAAAAAATACCCTTGAGACAAGTTAGCAAGCAAATTAGGTATTTATAGTAGAAAAATTTTTCAGATGAAAACTTAAGTTTAATCTGTAATTTTGATCTAATTAAGATTTCCTGGCATGGCTCACCATCCTGGGTTCATATAATATAATCCCTTTTTCCCATGTCAGGAATGCACTTCCAATGTTTATTCATGTGCATTCAATTGAAACAATATCAGCACTTTATGGGCCATATTTGTGGGGTTAACCAAGACCCTGTATGCTATTTAAAAAGAAGGGAACTGAAAAAGAATAATTTAGTCTTAAACATATTTCTCTTATTGCAAGTTTTATGCTATTCCTTTAAAAGGAGCAGAAAAGTAGTACTGGTATATAAAAAGTCCTTTTCATTTCTTTACAAAGCATAATATATATGGTCTTTATTCGAGTATAAATAATTTTGGCAATTTAAAAAATTGAGTTTCAGCATCTAACTTTTCCAACCTACAAGAAAAACCAGACGGGCTATAAGATTTGTACAAAACTTTTTAATCAACTTATTCTAGGGTTGGCACAAGATAGGGCCGAAGAATTTCAACTCAGCCTTTATATACCAATAAAAATGTTGGAAATAGAACAAAAACTTTTAATGGAACCTCCATTGCTCGAGGGCTTTTGATAAATTCCGTATATTAATTTTATACCGTCTAGTGAGCAATATATTCAAATCAGGAAATATTTTCTATTATTGAAGATGAAAAATTGAGACGTGTAATAAAAAATCTGAACATACCAGTTATATTGCGTGACTTGTATAATATCATGTAATCAAATAGAACTCTTCTACAAGAAAGTTAAAAAGTTCAGGGAGAGAGAAATGTAATATGCTAGTTAAAATAATAATCTCTACTTGACTAATTCTGTCATGGAAATAATTATTATAAAAAGAAAAAAAGAAAGACCCAGACTTTCTAACTGGTTTTATTAAAGTGTAAACAATATTTGTTAGCTATGTAATGATTGGAAATGTTATAATACTGTTCTATAACCACAAACTTTTTATATCTGAAATCATTGTAATTAGATTGCTGCTTCAGTTAGTCTTAAAGCATTGTGGGCTTTGAATTTTTTTCTTGGCCAAATGTCAGTACTGTTATGTGAAAGAATAATTATTAAAATCGTAAGGCAAAACCTAATAGACCCTAATGTCATTTATCAAATAAAAACATACCATGTAATAAGGAAATGGAAGAAGTGACCAAAATTTGCCAGAAAAAGTTCCACAATCTAGCAAAGTACAAAATCATATAGTATTATATATTTTTCACAGGTATCTGAAATTTCCCAAATGTAATACATAGCCACTCAATAGGCCTAGGAATACTGAGTTTTTTACTTGTGATACTAGGAATAGGCCGGAAACTTCAGATAGCTGTGTGATATTTGACAATTCACATTTATATTAACAAAGAGATTGACAGTTCTTCATGTTTTCTTATGACATCCCTTCAATGGTGGTATATCTGTGATTTATTTTAATCTTGTCTAGCCAGTTTATATATAGATCTAAGTACAAGTAATAATATTTTCTATACCACTGATGTATAATCTAAATGATAATAAGATAGTTTTATTAGAATCTAACCAACTAGACATTATTAATGATAGCTAGAGAACCATTCATCTCTACTTGTTCAGCACTAGAAAATCCAATTTCAGCAATCCTTTCTGTCTTCTATTGATCTTGTTTATTTCTTTTGTTCATAAAGGATCAAACATTAGTTTAAATTGGGTTTTTTATGTTAAAAAAAACTTTTCTATTGTGTTCGATCTTAAATTATATTGATTGAATAATGTGTAATAGGTTGATTATTCAAAGGTATATATGTGAAAGCGTTTGGATCTTCTTTGGTTTTCCCCGATTTAAATATTTTATTCATTCATCATGATCTCAATTCATTTTATTTCATTGATCTTTGCAATTATCATAATTTGTTATATTAATCAACATTCATAAACAATTATCATACAAACTTTTTAAATCAATCTCCATACATAAACAATTATTATACAAACTTTTTAAATCAATCTCCATACATAAACAATTATCATACAAACTTTTTAAATCAATCTCCATACATAAACAATTATTATACAAACTTTTTAAATCAATCTCCATACATATACAATTATCATACAAACCTTTTATATCAATCTCCATACATATACAATTATCATACAAACCTTTTATATCAATCACCATACATATACAATTATACAAACCTTTTATATCAATCACCATACATATACAATTATCATACAAACTTTTTATATCAATCACCATACATATACAATTATCATACAAACCTTTTATATCAATGACAATACTTATATATACAATTATCATACAAACCTTTTATATCAATGACAATACTTATATATACAATTATCATACAAACCTTTTATATCAATGACAATACTTACTTAATTATCATATATATACAATTATCATACAAACCTTTTATATCAATGACAATACTTTCTTAATTATCATATATATACAATTATCATACAAACCTTTTATATCAATGACAATACTTACTCAGTACTTGGTCATTCATATTTACCTTACAAACATCTTATCAAGTATGATAAAAAATGTCATAACAAACCTCTTCTATCAATTCAATTTGTTTCTCATACTGCTCATCTAATTGTTTCTGTATTTTATGTAGTATGTATCTTATATCTGTAAATTCCATTTAACTGAAAGATATGAAATAAGAATGGAATGATAATGAAATTTTAATATTTAATGCACTACATGTATATGATCCAAAAATCACAAGACTTATTGAGGACATATTGTAACAAATCTCGATGAAATCATTTAGCAATTAAAATAGATTTATAAAGGTTCAACAGTTGACATTCACAATATGTGATTATGGAAAAGATTCTGTAATTAGTGTATTGTATTGCAAATCATTACATATCACAATGTAAGAGCTACGATAGGTCACGATAGCACACGTAACATAAAGTAGAATAGATGTAATAATGTAGCATGTTATCTTGGATAATTTTTTTAACTGCAATATCTTTTCAGATAATAACTGAATAATATTACTAGGTTAAGGTTTACTGTTGACATGTGTATGTTCACATATTGAACAATTAATGCATTATAATTGGATGACAATTAGTTATATGTGTATACATTTTTCTCTGGTATGCCGTGTATTATCTAGAATTGATACACAACCAAACAAAACATTGATTGATATATTTTGCCAGAAATATCTGTTGTTTGAGCAATTAAAATCTCTACCCCATGTGAGATATCAGCATATTTAAAACTTTCATATGTATCTCTGTCTTATATTTTAATACCAATGTGATGATAGAGGTTGTTGAATTTAAACAACCCTCAAAATGATATTGATAATGATTTGGCTAACTGCTGTGTGCAATGACTTGCTTTTTATACGCCCACATGGAAATTCATAATAATCAGATGAATGGTTTATTATTACCCTGGACTTAGAAAAAATGAGTCAAATTTCCCTTGTAAGTGCGATAGAGGCTACAGTTTTTATCATATCTGCATTAAACTTGGTATGCATGTACGTATTGATGAGATCTCAGTCAAGTTCGAAATTAGAAATATTCGAATGAATGATTTTGGAGTTGTTGCCCTTGACTTAGTAAAAACACATCAAATTTGGCTTGTAGGCACGAAAGAGACAACAGTTTTTATCTCACCTTGATGAAACTTGTAATGCATGTATATATTGATGAGATCTCAGTCAAGTTTGAAATTCGTAATAATCGTATGAATGGTTTCGGAGTTATTGCCCTTGACTTAGTAAAAACGTGTTAAATTTTGATTGTAGGCACAATAGAGACTACAATTTTTATCCAACCTAGATGAAACTAGGTATGCATGTATATGTTGATGAAATCTCAGTCGAGTTTGAAATTGGTAATAATCAGATGAATGTTTTTTTGGGGCTATTGCCCTTGACTTGGGAAAAACAATGGAGGCTACAGTTTTTATCTGATCTTCATGA